ATTGATCAAAACCATTAAAGAGCTCTCGACAACGACAAGGCTTGAAGCTCGGTTTGACAACTCAGTCGCCAGGTCTTCTTTCCACGTCAAGTTGTTCATCCTTTGAAGTTATAGTAATTCGCTGTAATTTCTTTGGTAGGCATGCAGCATGAATGTAAAAGACGTAAGCTCGATAGCTTATCTCAATCGTCGCATTCGATTTAAGATCGGCGATGATCGCTTTCTTCAAAGATGTATTTTAATTGGAAAGAGGATGAACAGCAGCTGCTCGGGTCGTAAGTAACTGCGCTTCAAAGTAGGTAAGTAGGAGTGCAACTTTTAATTTAGAATTTAATTTAGACTTTGGACCAATGACTAATCAAAAAGCAATAAAACGCGCATGTGAGATTGAAGACCACCTAGTGAGTGTATGTCAAGTTAGCCATGATATATAACTAACAGTTTTTCTTGTGCCTTTCTAATTCAACAAATCCCAGCGTGAATTTGATTCATTTTGTTTTCGAAAACGCAAAAAGGTAATCGCGGAGCCTTCTCTATTGCAGGATTGTTAATATATGCGCCAATCAATGACACTTCTGGCTAAATATTTCAGCTTTAAATTTATCAGGATTCAATAAATAAATACCATCATTTGCTTTTCAGTTTGGCGGGGAGATAAATACATAAAAGCTGGAAAGTAACGAGGATAAATATATATATATTTCCTTATTTTATTGAAATAACTAGGTTTTAAGTTTTAGGGTGGAAGGTCATATAGATTATATTAACTATACAACATTGACAAAAAAAATTACTAAGAACATGCGTAAAAGGTAAATTACGAGCCTTGTATGAAACGACTGAACAAGAGGGCCAATGGGCCTTTCACAACTTCAGATTTTATAAGTTACTAAAGACTTACAAGACTGAATTGATTTTAGTATTTTTACACAATTTTTTCACCTAGAGGTGAAGCACGCTCGTTTGTTGATTTGTGCTGCTTGCATAAATAAATAGAACTGGAACTAAAATAAACTCTTTCTCAGTTATTCGCTCATGTTAAACTAGCTCGCTGCTCGAAGACTCGCTTCTCGCGGTAAATGTTCCCCGATTTTCACTTCGCCTTCGGCGAATAATTGTTAAATATTTTGAGCCTAAAAAATTCTTTGCATAAAAATCATCAATAAATATTTCAAGCCTACAAAACGGATTGGTTCTTCGTTACGGGTAGTGTTCTTGTTAAAGCCGAATCGAGAAGTGGTATGCATTATTTAGTGTTGACTAGCTCGCCGGCAGCAGCTTTACATATGAATGAGAATACACACATATAGATATATATTGAAATATATTTATCAGAAGAACTACGACTTTCAACTGAAAAAATGTTGCATAACGCTGGACAAGGAAAGGCCGACGTTTAGCAATCTGAAAAAACTCGAGACAGAGATAAACAAAACAATTTGACGATTTRAATTGAAAGTTTTGTAAACTTTGAACTAATGGATATGACCAACTTGACGTGGAAAGAAGATCTAGCGACTGAGTTGTCATACCGAGCTTCAAGCCTTGTCATTGTCGAGAGCTCTTTAATGGTTTTGATCAATCTCATATCTGCTGTTGGCAACATAACATTATGTTACGTGATC